TTCAAAGATGGCGCTCGCGTAAATGTTCGCTCACGTGTGCTCCGTTTGGACTTTTTACTATCACCGGTGACATTAGCCATGTTAGCACACGAGCCTTTGATACGTACACGAATCATTTCACACAGATGTTAAAAAGATAAAACATATTTTATGTCAGTACAAGCTCTGTCTCTCTTCCACAGCGTCTCTCACACCAACCAATCACAGCAGATGGCCGCCCCTCCCTGAGCCTGGTTCTGCTGGAGGTTTCTTCCTGTTAAAAGGGAGTTTTTCCTTCCCACTGTCGCCAAAGTGCTGCTCATAGGGGGTCATATGATTGTTGTATGTATTATTGTAGGGTCTACCTTACAATATAAAGCACCTTGAGGCGACTGTTGTTGTGATTTGGCGCTGTGTTAATAAAACTGATTTGAACTGAAAAGCATAAATGTTATTATAGATAGATACTTTGTTGATCCCACAAGTTAACAGTGTGCAATAAATAAACGACATAGCTGACAGGGCACAGGTGAGGGCCTTATTCTGTCAGATGGTACAAAACTATAAATGTGCAACAAGGATTAAGAAATAAAGGTTTAGGAGAAGTTTAGGAGAAGTTTAGGAGAAATAGAGGTTTAGGAGAACAGAGAGTAAGACTGATATTATGAAAGAGAGCGGGCAAAATATGTAGACTATACATCTAAGAACAGCTGCAAGGAGGTGTAACACAGAAATATTTGTGCGATTGTTCCAAATCTGAACAGTTTGATCCATCGTCGGTGCACGCTCGTGTGCCGTGTAATGTGGTGTTCAGGTGAGCGTACGAAAAGTGGGTCCCGGATCGCTCCGGGCTCCAGAGAGCGTTGAGAATGCGCCACAGCCGACTTCACGCTGAGAGCAGCTGCATTCCTGACCTGCAGGTCAAAGAGCAAAGAACAAACAGACGCACACACCCACTAACCTCTGGTTAAGTAAGGCACATGTACGGTACTTATGCACAAGGGTATGTGCGTGCGCTGCCTCCGACTTTCAAAGACTCGGCCGTGCTTGTCGAACTGCTGCAGCACCCAAACAGATGCAGCTGCAGCTGCAGTGCACGGGGAGCTATGCTAAAGTCACAGTCTGAGCACAGCGCGAGAGAAAGGTCAACGACGTGACCTCCTCTTTAAAAATGTTGCACCACGGTTTAATATAAAGCATGTGATTTTTGTCAGTGGCAAATATTTTTCTGCTTTAATTAGTGAATATATATATTTTATATGCTTTCAGGACAGAATAATGTTTTCATCCAAAGCGGTCAGCTGTTTATAAAAAAAAGTGCAAGATTTGGGCTCTTTTGGTCACACGAGCTCTGAGCTGCTCAAATTAAAGGCTTAATTTACGAGATCTAACTGATCTAATGATCTGCTTTTTCCTCACGTTGGCTTTGTTCGTGTTTATCACATTTGATGATATTAAGCACAAACACTATTTCAGGTCAGTATTGAGCTACGCTGTGTCCAGTTTGGAGAGTCAATCATCACTCTCAAAAATGTGCAGTCTTCTTAGAAAAGTGTTCACTGTGTATGACAAACAGATATATTTAGGAGCTGAGCTTTAAGCATGCTCCACAATCAGCTCTATATAATGGAGGTCTGACCTCTGCTAACACACAAACACGCTCAGGCTTACAGGAAAGCACTAATTCAACTTCCAGCAGCTTAAACTCTGATAACCTCTTAACCAGACAAAAGGCTGATCCATGCGCTGGATGTAGGTTAAAGTTACCAAACGCTCACATGTACAAAGCTGGAAAACAAATAAATCTTTGCTGCCAATTTTTTTGTATCAGCTTTTAACTCTTTTGACTTCGGTAAATCTTCAGGGACAACGTGTTCTTTCAGAGACCACGGGGACAGCGTGTTTTGTCATTCAGGGGGAATTCCCGTAAAGCCATGTGATGAGCAAACGCTTTTTGGTACATAGAGGTTCTTTAAGCCGTGCCTGCTTGGAAGCAGCAGTGAATACCTCGCTCCTTTTTCTCGCTCTCTATTTGGAGGCTGTTATTGGAAACTGTGGTTGGAGGCTCCGATTGTTTATTCTGTCCTCCCCTTTTCACGGAGACCTTCACATGACAATACTGCCGGTGTGGCAGGGAAAGCAGGCCAGGAATTCCACAGGAGTCCTGCCCACCGCCAAGACGATGGATGGATGAGTCAAAGCGCTAATCATCCAGCATTATCTAAAATGACCGTGCTCTTGTTATCTACGAAAACATTTTTGTGGTTGGGTTTGGGCAATGTCAAGGAAAAAGTGAACATTAGACGTTTGCGCACGGGAAAGTTCACTTTGAGAATGACTAAAAGTGTCTCGTAACCTTGATTAACATCTTACCAAAACTGTAAACTTCCACTGCTCCGACTGCACGCTTGACTCAGGATGTACCCCGGTTTCTGGTGTCAGAGTCTTGTGACATACGGCCAACATTCGCAATGCAGGAAGCAGTTATGATTTCCATGAAAACAATGTTTGGAAAACTGACTAGTCATATATAAACAAAACTTCTTGGAGGACGAGTTAGAGATAAGCTGTAGTGCATCCTGCTGCTTTCAAGTGTAAGGAAATAAGCATTGGGGTTATCTTAGTTAGGACATTGATTTTTATTTATTTAGGTTTGAAGAGCCTTATCAGCAAGTAAAGGAAAGTGTAGTTGTGAATATTTCTTCAGGGTTTCATTCAGTGCACGTGCAATGAGGTGCGGTCCAACAGAAAGTCACCGGAATCATTAAAAAACGTTTAATAAGCTTTTTTTCTGCAGTGAAATTAAACTGATGGCCTTAACTGTGCTGACCAGTTGTGCCAGTAACCTGCGCTGTGGTTAAGAATGAGGTAAAAGTGCGCTGTATTTGCTCATCTGCCTCCACACGCATGTGACTGTGAGTGACGTCCTGGTCTTAATCCACAGGGTTTAATACGATGGTGACCCAGCCTTTGCAGCTATAACAGCTTCAGCTCTCGTGGGAATGCTTTCCACGAGTTTATGGGAAGTTTTGGCCGTTCCTCCAGATGTTCTGTTCAGGTCCAGATGTTCTGTTGGGTTAAGATTAGGACTCTGTGCAGGCCAGTCAAGTTCTCGCTCATCCATGTCTTTGCGGACCTGGCTTTGTGCCCTGGTGCACAGTCATGTTGGAACAGGACCGTCCCCAAGCTGATCCCACAAAGTTGGGAACATCAAATTGTTCAAAATATTGGTAGGCTGAAGCATTAAGGGTTCCTTTCACTGGAACTAAGGAGCCGAGCCCAACCCCACACCACTAAACTTTATAGTTGGCACAATGCAGTCAGACGCTTACCGTTCCCCTGGCAACTGCCAAACTTGTCCATCGGATTGTCAGTTGGCGAATCGTGATTTGTTACGTCAGAGAACACGTGTGTACTGCTCTAGAGTCCAGCGTGCTTTTCATTGCGATTGGCGACGTAAAGCTGCTGCTCGGCCACGTAAACCCATCACACGAAGCTCTCTGAACACGCTTCTCGAGCTGATCTGAAGGCCACATGAAGCTCGGAGGCCTGTAGCGACTGACTCTGCAGAAAGTTGGCGACCTCGGCACACCGCTCTGTGACTTTACATCCTAGCGCTTTGTGGCTGAGTTGCTGTCATTCCCAGTTGTTTCTGCTTTGTTATGATACCACCAACAGCTGACTGTGGAATATTTAGTAGTGAGGAAATTGGTGGCATCCTATCACTGAGCTCCTGAGAGCAACCCGTTCTTTCTCAAATGTTTGTAGAAGCAGTCTGCAAGCCCAGGTGAATGATTTCATACACCGCCGATCGGCGCATCGGGCGACAAGAGAACGCCATCGAACTCGG